CAAAAGCAGACATGGGTCTTCCGGTTGTGGTTGCAGAGAAAGGTCATTTGTCTGTCAGTATAAAATGAAAGCAACTGCGTTTGCTATTTGGAGAACTTCTCAGAACTGTCTGTGGAGAGTCTCCCCGAGCTCGCATAGAAAGATATCTCAATAAATGAAACCAAGCTAAACCATTGGACTCATCTGTTACTTCCTACCTCCAAATTTCCATAACAAACACAATACCCCCATACACTGTAGCCTGTCAGTCATGTAATGCTGATGTAATTTAGAGATTTAACACGCAGACAGGCACACAAATCCTTAATACAGAGATGCTGGTTATTCCCCATCCATCGTTAGACCGTGTACAGGAGGAGCTGGACAGGGTCATTGGGGGTCGGCAGACTCGAGTGGAGGACAGGAAGAACCTACCATACACAGATGCTGTGATCCATGAGATACAGAGGATGGGCAACATAGTTCCTTTGAATATCCCACATGTCACAACCTGTGATGTGGTCTTCCAGGGATACCACATCAGGAAGGTAAGCTCAGTGCTTTGTGCCTAGTGCTGAGATTAACTCTGGTTCCAATATTCTGGAAATAAACTCAGATCAACAATCTGTAGCCTTCATACTCTCCAGAAAAAGTGTATGGCTTCTTTCAGGTGAGGTAGGACAGTCTACCCTTAGTGAAGAAGTACCTCAAACTCTCGTTCAAGGGTGAGAGTAAAATGAAGATCAGTTTATTGACTGCATTTTTGTGGGCACTAACAAGGTTCAGGTGTTGACAGGACTCTTGTGGTTTACCAGTCAGTCTCCATCCTCACCTGTCCTTACCTATGGTTATGAGCAGCGGGAAATGAGTATCATAACAAGGTTGGGTGTACAAGTGGATGAAATGACGTTTCTCCCGGGGTTGCTGAGTTCACTCTGCATGACATGGAATGGAGTTTGGAGATCCTGAGGTGTCTTGAAATTAAGTCAGTGTCCGCAGAGAAGACCCAGGATTGTATCTAACAGTTGGCATGGGAACATCTACAGATCCTGCAGGACATACTAGAATCTATGGTCTTGGATGAAGACCTCTGGTGTATCTTGCTGCCACCCAGCCCACAATAGGAAAAGAGATGGGAATATGGTGATGATAATTTACATTTATCCTCTGGTAGAGTATGTTTACATGTGCATGTACATGTCTGTGTTCCCTGCAGGGAACTGCAATCATTCCATTCTTGACATCTGTCCTAAGAGATGAGAGTGAATGGGAGAGTCCTAATACCTTCAACCCCAGTCACTTCCTGGATGATCAGGGTCTATTCAAGAAGAGGGATGCCTTCATGCCCTTCTCTGCAGGTACAGTGCAGGTTGTGCTTTGGTACGAGCTCTGTTCAGTTCTTTTGTTAGCTGCCTGAAAACAAACTCATAGTTGTCCCTCACGTATCTTACAAAATATTGTCACCTCTATTCTCTAGGACGTCGAACATGCCTTGGAGAGAGTCTGGCCAGGATGGAGATCTTCCTCTTCTTCACCTCACTCCTGCAGAAGTTCAGGTTCACTCCTCCTCCTGGGGTGTCCGAATCTGATCTGGACCTCACTCCAGCTGTTGGTTTAGTCGTCAGCCCCCCCGCACATAAACTGTGTGCTGTAAACCGGGCTTGATGATCCTGAACCCTGATGGTTTTTATGGAGATGAACTGCAACATAATCATACTCCAGATGGCTATATCAGTCACCGCAGATACAACATAAAACTCAGCTAACAGAGATGCCTACCTACCTGTCCATCTGCCTACCTGTCTACTGACCCACCTGCAAGAATATGGAGTAATAGAGATGTATGGGGCTAATATTCCACACTGGGAATTATGCATAGTATTAAAACTATAAAGTTTGTATTATTTTAAAAAAATAATGTGTAATGGAACCAAAACAACTGAAAAGCATAATATGTTAATATTATCTGGTTAATGAACATTTAAGTGTATGGAGCATTTTGTATTATATGGATTGTTATCTGTAGCCGGTTTTCCCCATATAATACGATCTGTACTGGGAAGTCGCACTGACTGTTCTGGGGACCAGTAGCTTGCTGACTATCTCCCTCCCTCCTGACTGGGTTGGGTGAGGGGGTCAATTGATGATAGAATAGCTGGGGGGGGGGTCAGGTACCAGCAATCAATTGGTGAAACTGAAGAAGTCTTAAACCTATTCATTCTCCCGTCCCTGTGCACCACCAGGGCCCTCTAGCTGACGTTCATAGTACTGCATGATCCGGCAAGGGCCACACCTCAAGGCTAACTGTGCTTAACCAGCAATAAAACTCTGTAGTCTCACACAAAGGCAGCTCAGGGGTATAGGCATGAAGACAATGTGCACCAATATTCTATTCTATTCTATTCTATTCTATTCTATTCTATTCCCTTTTATATAGCGCCTTTCACAACAAGGTGCTTCACAGGGCTGTGTTGTGATACATCACATCATTAACCAATAACCTGGGGACCATGTCTGAACATTAAGATGAATGACCTAGCATTAAGGCTTCAAGGAACCCAGCGGAGCTCATTAAGAAAAACTTGAGTGTAACCAGAGCCTTCCCCCAGAATTAAACAAAGGTAAGGTATTTATTTACAGTTTTAAAGACTGCGGCAACTGGATAGGGCCATGTGAAAATTAAATGTGACAAAGGGATTGTGTCACTAATCGCAACAAACTTAAAAACAAGTATAATGTAAGTCAGTAGCTTTGAAGAAAAAAATTACAGTAAAAGAATTCTGTATAAGTAACACTTTTACAAATCAGTTTGTGATCTGTTACATTTTGTGACTGTCAGGATTTAAACCAGACGATGTTTAGGGATGCAGCACCCTATGCAAATGCCTTGTTTTTTCAACTTCTTTCAGTACAATGTTCTGAATCAGTGTCCTGAAAAGAACTTGAAACCCTCAATAGATAAGGAAATGACACCCACATTAGCACCTACTGTGGATTTAATCATAAATTTAAATTTAAAACTCCCATACCTGTAACTCAGACGCTTTCTGTCTCCCCATTTTCTCCCAACTCCTATTTTTTCTCGAACTTTTTCTCTATTAAACCTACCTACATGAAATCCACCTTAATCGTATAGGCCAGTATGTACCCAACCACCTTTTAGCTTCACCATTTTAGCACACAAACTAATATTTACAGCATTAATGCCACCATAAGGAACACATAGTGTATGAAGTAAAACTGCTAGCAATGAGCTAAACACTACACAGTATCTTACTTAGCCATTGCATATAACTGTAATATTAAATAAAAATGCATTTACCAGGGGTACTATGCTAATGTAGTACAACAGGCTCAAGAGTAAGCTGTTCCCATCAGGTAAGGAGGAATTGCATCTCTGGTACTGAGTGTCTGTACAGATCCTGGAGTGTGAGGAGTCTGGGATGACTTTCCCTGCCTGATTCCGGGCTCAGTTAAAGCACATGTAGCCTAGGTCTGTAAAGTTACCATAAGGCTTTGAAGCTATTATAGAGCGTAATTTGTAAAGAGGGAGACATGAACCTTACAATAAGTGTGTGTATACCAAAGTGGGCAGCTGTCTCTTTAAGACGTTCCTGAGTGCCGAAAGGTAGGGTGGGAGTTTTTTTTTCGGCGGGTTTTTCTAGACGGTGGAAGGCGGGTAAAGAGAGCGGAAAGAAGAGCGAACGGCAACTTAGAGAAATAAACGTATATATCTATATATATATATATTTGTGTAGATATCAACGTTTAGAGCACTTCGTTTATTTTTTTGGCCGAAGCATAGAATTGCAGCAATTAGTGAATAGAAAGATTTTGGTTCAAGTTCTCTCTTTTGGATATCCTGGTAGGTCAATTTACCTGTTTTGTTAAATGTTAAGTAAAATATAGATAATAGCTAGGGATCATTAGTGTGAAGGAAAAACAGTCAGGATATGAATGTGAACATTTGTTGATTGTGTGGTTGATTATTTTCTTTGCTAATGTATCATTTTTTGTAGTTGTATGTAAAATGCTAAAGCTACCTATAAGGCTACTTGTTAATTGATCGGAATACGTTGACTGTGATATGGTGTTATTCAGTTTAGCCACCCTGTTAGTACCATTGCAGGTTGAAATGTTTATAATATGCATATATAAATATATACATATATATGTGTATATTAATGTTATTGAGGAAATCTGTATAGTATGGCCTAATGTGACTCTGAGATTGCGCTGTATGTTAATGGATGATGGAAAAAATATATAATTTTGTGTGATGTTTAAGTAAGACATCTAACTCTCTGTACTTTGTGTGCAGACTGTTTTTTTTTATTTGATTCCGTTCCGAATTCAGTTTTTTTTCGACCAAGGAAGATCGCTTGTTTCACAGAGTCGCCCCCTCTGCGTTGAACTGCGCAATGTAACAAGTTTTTTGCAACCGAAGATTTTTTCCCCAGCGCTTTGTGAAGACACCAGACACGGACAATCGTGGTTAGTGCAGCAGATAACTGTAACAATCTTTCAAATCTGGAAACAAGCACCAAAATTTGCATATTTATACTTCTTGGACCACTTGTTAGAAAAAAACCGTTAGCCACTTAAAATTAAAAAATGGCCGCCATTTTCCAAGATGGCCGCCATTTCTGGCATAAGAAACACATATTTTGCCACAGAATTGGACTCCCTGGACCGATTTGGATGATTTTGGTATTGAATCCTATGTTTCTGACCATGGGGAAGTCCAATTTATAGCTTTGAATTCTTTTTAGGGATTCTTTGTACCATTTCTAACCAAAAAAGTAAAAAAAATAACCTAAAACAGAATAATTACAGCAAAACATTTATGATGTATAGAAGGTTAATGTCCACAGCACAGATGTCACCAGTCCAACATCACAAGATGTTTAATATATGTGCTATTACCAGTCTACTTTAAGACATTCAGTCCTTTTGCCTTTGCATTTGTCCCCAAGGTGAGTTGGAATTCCTACACATCGCATCTACAGCTGCATAGTCCAGTACAGGTCAGAGCAAAGCGGTAGCATTTGCATTGTCCATGGCATTCTGACTTGCATCCACACTTGGTCAGTTGCTGACAGCTCTCTGCAATAGGTGGAAGCTCAGTCCAGAAGATCTGCCACAGATCACCTTTCTTGGTCCCGCCCCAGTCGGCAGGGCTCTGTTTTTCTGGCTGGCATACCGTTGACTGACTCCATATGCAGCCTGCCTGGTAGGCAGCACGCTTCACATGCTGCAATAGAGCAGCTCGAGTAGGAGGAATGGCCTCATATGTTCTCTGCTTCCGAGCAAGCATGTCTAGCCTGGCATCAACACCATCAGCTGTACTGGACCTGTCGTACATCTTGACCACAAACTTCTCCAAGGTCTTGAAGTCATCATCATCTACTGCTGGTGAGTAATGGCGGAGTTTGCTGAAGACATCAGAAGCCTCGTCACACACATCCCAGGTTTGCCATGCTGACTTCTTCCCTTTCCCACGGAATGCTGAGACATCGCAGCCAGTGAAGGCATGGAAGAAGAGAATTCCTCTGGTCTTCTCCAGTGCAAGAGAGAGGCACAGGTCATGTACTGGAATCCACCTCATGTTCTGTCCTTGGCCAAAGGCTATCCACAGCTGCTGCAGACCAATCCCCTGGAGGGTTGGCAGAACACTGACCGCTATGACCAGAACATCTGTGTCGCTGGCTTTGACCATGAGGACTTTGCTGCCTTTTTCTGCTGCATGCTTGGCATGCACAAAGATCCGGGTGTCGGCTTCTTCATGGCTACAAGGAGCCACCTCAGCCAGGTTGATGGTGTGGTTGCCGAGAGCATCATCTTCTTTGGTCACAATGACCACATTTGGTGCAGACATCTGTGCAATCTTGTCAGCCAGGAAGTTTAACAACTCAGTTTTGTTGTCATTGTCTCGGAAGAAGTTCCGCCAGTTTGAGGGGACTTTGCCCTTCTCTGTCACCCTGCATCTGACTCCACGTCCTTGCTTTGACCTAGCTTCAGCCATCAGACTCGATGGCTGGTAGACATCAAACACAATGTCCGCTCTGCTGTACTTGGTCAGGTAGCCTTGTATGGTTGGAAGAACATCAAGTACTGCATATTCTTCAAAAGTCTTCAAGGTCCTTGGTGGCAGACTATTCACTAGTGCTGAACCATCAATGATGATGGTGTCAGCCTCTGGTTCTATGTCGGGGATGGTAACATGAGTCTCAAGAAAGGTAGTAAGCTGGGATTTCTCACAGGTGTTAAGCTTTCCACCATCACTCAGAGCAGCAGGGAATGGCTGGTTCTCATGCTGAAAGAAGGCAGTAAGGTAACATTCTTGGCTCTGGCAGGAGATAAAGAGCTTCGAGAAGAGCTGGCAGTCCTCCTTTACCACCTTTTCCTTTGATGCACCAACTGAGGATGGTTCCTGTAGGAAAAAGTCTATCTGGTTCTTCTTTGTTGGGCCATAGAAGGTGGATTCTCCCCCCTCTAGTCCGTTCATGAACTGCTGGAAACTCACCCTGCCCTTCTCATGGTGTGTGCCAACCAGTTCAGCTGCAATGTGGTGGGCAATGTCCTTTGTGTCCAATGAAAGCAGGTCCCGGCTCGCTTCTTGGAATGGATTACCCATATCTGTCACGGCTTGGGTGAGCTTTTCAACCTTCTCAAGGAACACCTGTTGAGCTTGTTCTGTCTGCTCATGATGGCTGGTATGTTCAGTAATCTCTTTGGTTCCAGATGCTGCCTCATACTGCTCAACCAAGTGGCTGACTTCAGGACCAGCTACCATTCATCTTCTCAGTGCTGATGGATCTTCTGTCACGCCGTTTGCTCCCCTATCAGTCTTGATGACAGCATTGGCCTGCTCATGAGCTTGGTCGATGGCCATTGCTGAGAAGTCTCGACCTGATTTGTGTACAACAAATTTTCCTCTCTGGAACCCGTGAGCCAGCTGGGGATGCTTCTGTGCCAGGGTCACCATGTCTCTGAGGTGGCTGGGGAGCCACCGTGCATAGTTCACATTGTTGTTGGCAAAGAAGTATGGTATCAGCTCAGCCAGTGACTGACAGTACAGCTCGAAGTTGGCTTCCCTGAATGACCGGATCAGCAGGAAGATCGTCAGTTCCATCGACAGCACCAGATGCCAAAACTGAAACTGGACTTTCGTGCATGTTGTATCGGAGTCTAACATACTCCATCCCCCCTACTAGCGCTACCACCTACATGGATTTCAGTTGATCTTAACCTCTATTTTGCAGAGAATTTTTAATATTTCACTGGGATATAGTACAAGAAAGCTTCTGAGTAATTTTAGAGTTCAAAATTCAGCTTTTACATGGTCAAAAATGTATAATTTGACACCAAGATTATTAATGTACTGTAGGACAAATATCTACAATTTCATTGCAAAAAAGGGATTTTCGATAGCAGAAATGGCAGCCATCTTAAATGTGTTTAACAAGCCATTTAAAGTAAAAAAATTTAATCTACCTTTGTGCAAGTTGCTGGGGTTTGTGAGGTGAATGCCACAGTTTTCTTTCAAGTTTAGACCATACTCTGAAAGAACCTCTTAGAACATACCTATTCAGATGTGAGGGTTGAATTGGATCAATATTTAGTGATACACCTACTGCCAAATGCTCGAACACACTGACACGGATGTTACACACAGATCCTGGAGTGTGAGGAGTCTGGGATGACTTTCCCGCCTGACTCCGGACTCAGGATAAGTACAGATCCTGGAGGGTGAGGAGTCTGGGATGACTTTCCCTGCCTGATTCCGGACTCAGGATAAGTACAGATCCTGGAGTGTGACGAGTCTGGGATGACTTTCCCGCCTGATTCCGGACTCAGGATAAGTACAGATCCTGGAGGGTGAGGAGTCTGGGATGACTTTCCCTGCCTGATTCCGGACTCAGGATAAGTACAGATCCTGGAGTGTGACGAGTCTGGGATGACTTTCCCGCCTGATTCCGGACTCAGGATAAGTACAGATCCTGGAGGGTGAGGAGTCTGGGATGACTTTCCCTGCCTGATTCCGGACTCAGGATAAGTACAGATCCTGGAGTGTGAGGAGTCTGGGATGACTTTCCCTGCCTGATTCCGGGCTCAGGATAAGTACAGATCATGGAGGGTGAGAAGAGAGAACACAGATGATCTAGCTATTCGGTTTAGCCATTTTTTGGCTGTGATACATGGTTTAGCCATACTCTAGAAATGAATGTTGGTTTGTTGGTTCATAGTCAATATGTTACAGGGAGAAATTGTAAACTTATGAACTCTGAATGAATAGAAGGAACTCTATGCTAATCATCAACGATTGGATATATTATGGACTTTGGATTTTGAAGCAGGTTTGTTTAAGCTACACTTAAGTCAGCTCTTTAACTATAAACAAACTGTTACTAATCATTAGTTTGTGAGTGAATCTTTCTATTAGAGGTGCATGATACAATTTTCTCTGGTCCGATCATAATATAAAACTTTTGAGTATCTGTCAATATTGAGTGTGAATGTGCTCATGTTTTTGATGAATGATGTACTGAACAAATCAGTTTGCAACTAATGAACAGAAACATGAGCGTCATTTTAGTGTGCCTTAGTCTAAGTCTTAAGTGCAAACTTGCTGAACACTGCCAACTTATGGCAGACAGGGGTTCCGTGTTGACAGCCAAACCCACTGTCCTGGCAGGTGTGTGGCCCAGGGTGGAGGGGTGGTCAGCCTGTAGTTTCTGTCACAGATCAGGCCTCCAGTTGTCGGTGGACCTGTCTCCACACTGCTTGGCTGTGCTGGAACCAATCCTCCACTGTGGGGAATGGGTTGGGCTGGGAGTCCAGGGGCCTGAAAGGGCGAGAGATCTGTGTCGGGCTGTGGATAAGAGTTTCTGGCATACTCTACCCATACAAAAGGGTCCACTGTGTCTGCAGGTTGGCACACAGCAGCTGGAGGGCCACTGTCACCTCCTGGCTGGAGCTGAGTGAGGTACTGTATGCACCCAGTGTATGGCAGCAAAGCAGAACAGGGTAGGGATGTCATGGTTGCCTGAGGGGCTGTTGGCTAGCATGGGCTCGTGCCGTTGGATCCTGCCACCAACCTGTTTCCTGAGCCCGGTAATCTGCGATCTTCATAACATTTTAATTACTCTATAATAATATATATATAATACTCTTTAATTTTTTTTAATGGAAATCTAAGCCACCACAAATACATTACAAATATTACAAAGAGACAAAAGTCGATGTGGCCTTGAGCTTCTAAATTTCTACAATTATTATCTTGCCAGTAGACTACAATATATTCTAAAATGGATTAAACAAAATCCGGTAGACTATATCTGGTTGGATATTGAACAAACATTTTGCAGTGACGTCCAAATCCAGGATCTGCCTTTTATCAGCTCCACCATTAAAAAATGGCGGGGAGGATGGGGGGTTCCCTGCATGACTGGACTGGCTTCCTGGTTGCTGGGGAGTGTGGGCTGTCCTGGTCCTGGGGTGTCATTGTTAACACACCACAACAAAATGTGTTCTCTGCATTAACCCACGTGTGACAGCTGATTACGCGCCCAGGGGCAGTGCTTGGGGACGGTACCTTGCTCAGGGTACCTCAGTGGTGCCTGGTCAGGGATTCAAACCAGCAATCTTTCAATTACGAGTGCGCTTCCCTAACCATTAAGCCACCACTGCCCACAGGGTCTTTGTCCCACTGACCTGCTGCTGGGGTGGGGGGTGGCCCCACCGCTGGGGCAGTTCGGGTCGGCTCCCTGCTAGCTGGGCGGGGGCGGGAAGCGGGATTCGATGAGAGGTCGGTTGGGGATCCGGCCCCTCGGACGGGACCCATGCCTTGTGTGCCCCGGTTGCGCCCCTGTCTCCTACACACACCACAATACACTAGGGTCTGGGGGGCCGTTCGGGGCCATGGATGCCGAAGGGCTGGGTTATGCCACGTGGCCTGGCCCACAGGCCCTACCATTGGCCAGTGTGCTGCCCCTCAATCTTAATTGCACAATAGTCATACTACAACATTAGGACCTTGGGGGCGGGTGGGACGGTCATGCCCTGTCTGCTCACCCAATTTTAATGCACCTCAGTTATTCATACAGTCCATCCAGTCCTGATACCCCTTTTTTCTTTTGCAATGCAAATTAAAAATAAAATCTCCGCAGAGGGGGATGGTGAAGGGAATATATTAAAAAAAAATACAAAAATAATGAGATTTCGTACGGGATGTTATAGGTCATGTTTCTAGGTTTAAAATCACTGTTAGTAAACCATTAACTGAAACACTCAGATTACAATATGCTTGATTTATTCAGGGATCCAGTGATACCTGAAAACTGAACTGGAAAGAAAAAAATGTGCACAGTGCGCTGCCAGCAGGAGGACTGCAGAACCATTAAAAAAATCTAATTCATACTTTCTATGGGCTCTTCTTAAGGGATCTTTCCATCAGAGGTGGAGATTTCAGGTCCAGAGAGTATAAATCTAGACTGA